TCTCAGAGTCTCTAATGTGGTATCCGTAAGTTTTCCAAACATAGTACTTTTAGAATGCACAATGACTACTGTGAAATCACTAATTTTTGTGGGGGTTTAATTTTTGTTGTTTTCATGATATAAAGAGACCCATAAATTCATGTTCTCCATAAAATATAAAATTGGCAAGGTACTGTTTCGGCATATTTCTTGAACCACAAAATCAAATCCCAATGAACTTACATTTTTTTCAGCAAACCACAAAAATTTGAGCTCATGAAAATAAGTCATTTTCATTTTACAGTGTAAACATAGCATATAAGGATACTTGCACAAACAGAAACTGAATTCTTCATATGGAAATGCCAAGGTTGTCTTCACTAAAAAGGTTCATATCCAAAAAACATTTCCATTCCTTAAAAGTATTGATGCTGAGGCCCCCAAAAGGGCCAAGGTATATGCTTTTAAGGAATGCAGGGGTGCTAGATCCACAGTAGTTATATAAGATTAAACTGGGCAATGTTATATTATAGCATAGAAATCATTCATATCTGTGGTTCATAGTCTCCTACAAGTGTAGACATTATAAGGAAAATGTTGAAATGCTTAAAATCTAAAAAAAAAAAAAAATTTTTTTTGCATTTTAATTGAGAAAAGTACATGTATATCAAAAGCATAAAAACTATGTATATTAAGGAATAACAACTCATTGGTTTAGATCCTTCATTGTTTAAAAATACTGCCTCGTGGATGTAGAGTGCTACCAAAAATGAATTTTTGATATTACAGAAATCTGTTCCTATTTGAAAATGAAATTAATCATCAGAAATTATCCCTTCTGTGAACAAAACAATCTCCACCCTTTTCTACATCATTTCCTGAAATAAAATTAGACTAATGATTTTCTGCATAAATTGCCCCTTGTCCACTTGGTTGACCAACTCCTATTTGCTTCTTTTTCTTTTTTCAGTTGAACACTGAGTGGACCCAGATTGAAGTGATAGACCTAATAAATGATGGATCAGGCCTAGGATTCGGAATATTTGGGGGACGAAGCACTGGGGTGATTGTTAAGACTATTTTACCTGGCGGAATTGCTTGTATTGTAAGTAGTTAAGTCTTTATCATGGACTTTTTTATAAAGACTGATGAGTATTATTCAGTAGTTCAGGCTTTATAATTGTGTGTAAGTTGTAAACATATTGGATGTGCAATCAAACAGTGTAAGGTGCACTTTGTCAAGGACCATCCATATATCTGGGTCCAGAGATGCAGATAAATAGTATGTCAAAGATACAACATAATTCTTCAAACAGTTTCAGTAAATGCTGTATTTTTAGCTCACCTAAACCAAAGGCTCGAGTGAGGTTGTCTATCGAAGGGTATCTAACGTCCGTCTGTTGTCCATTTCTGTTGTCAAATTTTTTACTTCTCAAGAACTGCCAGGCTCAAACCAAACTGCCACAAAGCATCCTTGGCTGAATTGGATTCAAGTTTCAAGTTTGTTCAAATGAAGGGCCTTGTCCTCTTTCAAGGGGAGATGATTAAGAATTAGTGAAAAATTAATGACATCTTAAAAACAATTCTCACGAACAAGTGGGATAGTGTAGATTCAAGTTTGTTCAATTCATGACCCATGGGGATAAGGTGGGGCCACAATAGGTGATCAAATTTTTACATAAGAATATGTAGGAAAATATTTAAAATTCTTTCCCTAATGAACAGCAAAAGCCATGATGAGTCTTATTGATATATGGAAGTAATCTCAGGTAGTTACAATTCAAGTTTGTTCAGCTCAGGGCCTTTTGGAATAGGTTGAGTCTACAATAGGGGATTAGAATTTTATAAGGGAATTAATTTAGGAAGGAAGAAATCTTTTCAAGACTGGCAAAACCACACTACATCACGTTTATAAGCAAAATATACCAAAGTTGTGAAGATAACTTTTTTCAAAATTATGAGCTCTAGGCTTAGGATTTGGTTGAAACCAATTATCTTAATTCTAAATAATGCATGTGTAGAAGAAAAAATCTTCTCCATAACATCAGGGCCATGTTGATGGTATTTATATTGAAGCATCACAATGTTGTATGGATGCAACTTTGATTAAATTATAACTTCGTAAGGGTTAGAATTTGGTCCACAATATGGAGTCAAAATTTTTATGAGATTAAAAAAGGGAAATTAAAAAAAAAATGCTGATGAAGAACCGCAGGGCAGTGACCCATGTGAGTGTTGTGGCCCATAGGCCTCTTGTTAAGCATTGGCACCTTAACTTTTGTTATGTATACATGTATTAAGGAGAACATATTAGTAAGAATAGTTCACAGTTCAATGATGGTTGTTAATCTCATAAAATGGTCAGGGCATCATAAAGGGGGAGAAAAATAAAGAATTTGTTTATTATCTGAGCAAAAAAAAAAAAAAGATTCTTTATCCAAGAAATTGATAGAAATGAACATATTGAATCCAAAATCAGACGAACTATTAAAGATATGACTTATCTTTAGACCCATTCATAATTTGATGTCTGACTTCAATCCTGTTTCTACAATCTGACCAAATGAATTGATTAAGAAATAAGATATCATTTTTAGAGTTTCACTGGGATATGACATGAAGTCGGTCACGTGATCATATTCTATAATGCCTGAAGGGCGTTATAGTAGATTTGATCACGTACCAACTTCATGTCATATCCCAATGAAACTCTAAAAAATGATATTTTATTTCTTATATTTATAATTTACTTTTATTCGTGTTACAAGGGAAAATAGGCACTATTTAAACTTTGTTATGGAAATGCAACATAACGTACCTACGACGTCATGTGACATCACAAGCTGAACTTTCCAAATGGCTCGTGCAGTTTGCTTTCCATACACAAGAAAGTCTGATCATGTGACCAACTGCATGTCATTGAAAATTGAAAGTCATTTTTAATTAGTATTGTTATATAAGGAAAGACATCAGCAAATGTAAATATAATGTAATAACCTTATTTCATACTTGTTGTCTACCATTACCCCCAGATTTTTGTTTGGTAGAGAATTATTACATGTACCTCCAATATTGTTTATTTACATAAGGGACATGACTCTTAACAATATGCAATGGAACATATATTCCTTGTACTATTTTATTTGGGAAAAAAAATTACTTTTTTTGCATTTTGTAAGTCTGTGATTGATATATGGTGTGAAAATATGAGGAACAAGATGTGTTTGTGAAACACTTTGCCCCTGATGGTAACACAATTCTGGAGTGGGATGTAGACTACAGTGCAATAGTTATGGCCAATGTTAAAGTTTTTCAAATGTAGATCAAAGGTCACAGTTGAGGTCACATGATCAAAAATTTCTGTACCAATGGAAAGGTCTTGTCATAATGAACACTCATGTCAAATATTAATTAAAAGCCTTATCCTTGACAGCGCAATAGTTATGGGCTAGGTTAAAGTTGACAACAGACAGACAGACAGGACAAAAACAATATACCCCGGGATCTTACGATCCGGGGGCATAAAAATTGATTTATCATCAATCAGTAATCTGTCTTAACTACAAAATAGCATGGAATAAATAACTTAAAATTTAAAGATGATGGTCTGGGGGTCTCAAATTGTCAAACGAAGGAACAAGTATTTCATGAATTGATTATCACTTATGATCCAAGTATCAAATCAGTGTGATCCCCCGTAGTGTATTCATCTTGATTCCCGATGATTAATTCTCCATCACCTCTAAGTTAAGGGGTCCTCATTGGCAAATTATAGCTTCTAACACCCCATTTTAGACCTTTCTTAGGATAAATGATACTTTGCATTTCTTTTTCGGAGCTCTGCAGATCAATGGAGATCAGGTCTGTAGAGAATGCCTAAAGCTAAGTTAATAGAATTTCCCGGTTCCTGGGAGGGATTGTTTTCATCAAATCTTGGATGTAACTTTTACAGCAACAATTGTGCTGCGGCCCTTGTTCCACTGTCAGAATATGTCAGTTTCATGGCTTTTCAGAAACTCGTTAGCCGTAGTGTATCTCCAATGCCAGAGCTTGAAGAGCTAGATGCCAGGATAGATTTAGGCTTTAACTTTTCATTTTACTGTTGACCTTTAAAGAGTCTGCTACTTTTGGTTTCTGTCTTAATTACCTCTGAGGCAAAATTTGATTATTTTGGTCTTCTCTCTGGATATGGTAGAGATTTGTCATAAAACTGTGGCCATAAATATTTTATGATTTGAAGAGAAAAAATACAGTAGTTGTCATGCATTTGTCATTGTCTTTCATAATTCAGAATTGAATGTGATGGAAGTATTTTTCGTATAAGTAGATACACTGTGGAATTAAGTTTCTCCCTGAAAGTTATCACTCATCTCTCTCCCGTCATCACATTTTTGTTCTAGCTGAGTTACAAGTCACTTTGTTCTGCTACTGATAATTTGGCAGACGTTGGTGTTCGTGGAAGTAACTTCAGAAATAAATGTATGATTTCTATAGAAATTATTCACAACTTAATTTGTTATATAAGTATTACTTTATGTTTTCTAATGCTTCAAAGCATGCATATTACATGTAGAAAGGTGAGTTTCTTATAAAGGTGATATTCTTTGGTTTATTTGAAGCGATTTTTTATATTATTATCAGTCAAGTCCATTAACATGATTAAAGAACTGTATATTTATCCATTTAAAAAAAGGCCTATAACTAAAGAGTTGAAAAATAGATGTTACTATAATAAGTCTATTAGAATGAAAAACTAAGCATTTTTATTGGTCGTTTAGGATGGGAGATTACATAGTGGAGATCACATCCTACAAATTGGAGAGGTCAATGTAAGGGGCATGAGCTCCGAGCAGGTGGCAGCAGTGTTACGTCAGTCTGGCAGTGAGGTCCGTCTGATTGTGGCCCGACCGGTCAATGAACCTTCCCCCTACCCCATCCCCCATGCTCCTATTGTCCCCACCCATCAGCTGGATGAACACCTCCAGCAGATCAATGCCTTGTTACATGGAGACCATTTTAGCCAGCAGATGGCAGATGACTTGGCTGGGGGAATGATCCAAGTTCACATGGTACAGTATGATTGGTTGATTTTTTTTTCATGGTATATCTTTCTAAGCCAGCTTAATTTTCTGTCTGAAATAAAAAGAAATTGAAGTATACTGTTTTCTCATCAAACCTGAAATATAACTTACCAATGCACATGCTATTTCAACTTTTTGCTGTAAGAATTAAAAACATCAACAGAATAATTTTTTTTCTCCCTATAATGTTATTTACCAATACTGGTAATATGATGGTTTAGATGAATATGCATTATAAAGCCATCAAACAATTGTTGGTTATTTCCGAGAAAATTCATTTTTTTTCTTTCAATGATTTCAAATTTAATCATCATTTAGATGCATGTAGTATCTGTCAGTAGCCATTATCTGCTGAATGCCATCTCTTTTATGCATGCTTCAACACATCAACTGATTATCACTATAGATTTATATTAATTCTTGTCTGATGTCCAGGATACAAAAAAATCCATAATCCTAAATATTTCATAACTAGACATCTTGTCAGTGATGAAATATAAGTGAGTTGACATTACATTGTTTTGAATACTAGTGTACCCCCAATATCCCAAATGTTGAGGTCAAGGCAAAATTTCAAGATCAGGTTTGAAGCAGATCTCTCACTTTTGGGTATATCAAGAGATGCTGATTAAATTTGTTACCATAGAAAGAAGATACTGTATAATATGTTAGTCATGTATTTTCAAAGGTGAAAAAATGAATTTTTCCACCTGGTTAGACTTTTGTGATTTTGGATCCCTTTAGTAATTTGTTTTTTTTTTGTCTTTCAGCCTCCGTATAACGATGTAGGAACAGAGTATCCGGAGGTGGAGTATTTTGACGTTACACTAATGAAGGACAGTCAAGGACTCGGAATCACCATCGCTGGCTATGTGGGCAAGGACAATGCCCCAGGTATATCACAACTGTGTATAAATAGTAAAACATGTTGTAGTGAATACAATTATATTGAATGTCTGCATGTTACAAAGACATGAATTGTAACAAGAAGTACAAAATAATAAAGTAGCAAGGTGAGGAAAAAGGAGAATAAAATTTAGAAATAACAAAATTGATAAAGGAGTACTATAATTATGATTTAATATCTATGTCTTGTTAGGATTTCTACATTTATGCTGCTTTCATTATACACAAACAACATAAAGAAACTGTATAAACGTGGAAATTTTATGATTTTAGACTAATACTTGACAACAAAGTGTGGTCAGAGCAAAATTAGATTTCAAATAAACATGCATTAAATAAAAAGTTTAAATTATGATTTGATGGCAGAATTGATAGTCAAGGTGACTAATTATTTTGTGAATTGTTTATATTCGGAATATAAACATATATACTTATATTGATTTTCTGCCTTAACAACATGATGCCTGATTTGTATCTGTCATAAATCTGGTCCACAGCTGGCATGACGTCACAGCAGCATGGCACAAATCTGTCCTTAGGACCCAAACATCAAAATATGTCATATAAGAACTCAACATTCAAGTTTACATTTATTGAACCTAGTCTTAAGTTTTGTTCAAAGTGGTATAACAGTATAAAGTTTGATAAAAGTATATGATTTTTTTTTGTAACATGGTACAGAGTTGCTATATTAAGAAGAACTACTTTAATCAGTAAATGCATTCTAGTGTAGAAATGTAATATATTAATACTGACTCAGGTTTGTGATTGTGATGTTTTATTTTTAATAATTTTAGATGATCTGTGTGGAATTTTTGTGAAAAGTGTGGCTGAAAATAGTGCTGCTGATCAAGATGGTAGGATCCAAGTCAATGATCAGATAATAAAGGTAATTAAATACTCAACTCTCTTATAAAAAAAAGGGGTATGATTATCCTCATTGTCATACAGACATAGGAAACCTCACCTGTTAGATAAGGTAACCTCACCTGGGAAAATAGTACAAGGTAATGTCACATGTGTTAGTAGTAAAAGGTAGGTAACTTTACCTGCAATAATGGCATAAGGAAAAGTTAACCTCATCTAGGATAATGGAACAAGGCATAGATAACCTCACCTGTGATAATAGAACAAGGCATTGGTAACCTCACCTGTGATAATAGAACAAGGCATTGGTAACCTCGCCTGTGATAATAGAACAAGGCATTGATAACCTCACCTGTGATAATAGAACAAGGCATTGGTAACCTCACCTGTGATAATAGAACAAGACATTGGTAACCTCACCTGTGATAATAGAACAAGGCATTGGTAACCTCACCTGTGATAATAGAACAAGACATTGGTAACCTCACCTGTGATAATAGAACAAGGCATTGGTAACCTCACCTGTGATAATGGAACAAGGCATAGGTAACCTCACCTGTGATAATAGAACAAGGCATAGGTAACCTAACCTGTAATAATGGAATATGGCATTGGTAACCTCACCTGTGATAATGGTGCAAGGTATGATTATGTAGATAGTAATTATGTGACTGGGTATGGGATTCTATCAAGTCAGTAAGTTTCATATCTTACAGGGTATAGAACCTGCTGACCAAATATCACCCTATTCTTAGTCACTAGATGATTATGCTATTAATCTAATTCAATGAGGACTAATGGATTTAAAACTTAACTTTTACATTCTAGTAACATCACAAATTAAAACAATGTCTGCTGTCAAATGAAACCCCTTAGAAGTATGACACTGCAATTTGTTTTACATCATGTTGGGTATGTGACTGGTTTTATGATTTGATTGTGATAGTGTATAGGATACATGGCATCTTCATGTGATAGTTGAGGACCGGACTGAATCTGCCATTTTGCTACAAACTAATCAGAGGTTACGGAACAAGATATTGGTAGTCACCTGTGGTAATGGAACAAGATATAGAAAGTCAACTGTAATAATGGCGCACGGCATATGAAACCTGAAATAAAGATATATATATATATTGGCAATCTCAACCAATACAAAGTTTGGTAAGGGGGGATGAGGGAAGGTGGGAGGGGGGATAAACTCTTAATGATAATGATGAATGTAGGCACAGTGTATAAGTAGCATTACCTGTTATAAAGGTCAACATATAGGTCTGTTTTAGGTATGCCTCACTTAGATTATACAAGGCAGTCATTGCACCAATTTTAATTGTTAGTATGAGGTATCTCAACTGCCATGAAATGTTGAAATAAAAAAGTTGCCTGCCCTGCTATACTGATTAGATATTATTATACACTTTGAATTGAAATGGAGTGTAAAAACCATTAACCTTTCTAAAACATGCTGTGCTAATTAATTATTCATTATGAGTTGTCAAGTTACAGGACTTCAATATTGGACTTGTTGTGCTATAGACTTTTTAAAAGTGAATCAAGCTGAGAAATAAGATTTAAATTTTAATGAACATGTCTGAAGTTTACATGGAAAAGCAATCTAGTAATTAATGTTTATCTTCCTGAAAAAGTGAAATTTTAAAAAGACTTCTCGTCGGGAGAATTACAATGCCTGCTAGTAGCCCATCGAGGTGTTTCTGAAGTATTCATGTGTTAAATTATGTAGGAAATGTGCTTTAGTGGCTTTTACCTAAGGCATCACTTCTTGTGATTTATTTATTAAGTGTAATGAAGGATATAGTTTCCGTTCAGGACAAGCTATTGTTAGATATTCTGAGATGAGCCGTCTCGAGACTGCTATTTTCAGCCTTTCTCTATATTGCAGCTATTGTTTGAGATGCCAATAAAAATATTCTGATGTCATTAGGTTATATTTAAAGTTCTCAGAACTAATATAAATCAATAAACTTTTAATTCATCTAATATTGAAAACAATAGGAATTCAATTTAAGTGGAAAACAACTCTGCTTTTAAAGGCTTTTCAATTTCATCTGAGGGTGAAGACCAATAAAGTTCCCATAGTTTTAGCCTTCATTGAAAGCTGCATATTGGCATTCTATCGGTGTTTATCTGGAATGAAATATGCCATCATTCATCAATCTTGAATATGGGCAGAATCTTGCATAACTTTCTTAGATCATGTATCTATTCAACTGGGTGTGGATATATAGATCACATAGTGTTATGATGAAACTATTTATGTCAACATTTTATCTGAATATATTTATATGTCCACATTTTGTCTGAATATATTTATATGTCTACATTTTATCTGAATATATTTATATGTCTACAATTTATCTGAATAGCATTCTTTATTAAGCAACTGGAAGACTGTGATTAAAGTACAATGCAAAATGGTTATAACAAAGCATTTTGGACTGTCTCTGAAGATTCAATATATTTTACTTTACACTACTGCAGTAAAATTTTTATTTATTTGAAGTCATTTTCAATTCTACTTAAGATCATCTGAGTCACTCAGGTGAGCTTTTGGTATCCATTCTCTTTCACAGATGTGAGAAGAGCATTAACTTTCCATCATTTTTAGCTTCTTCTCTGAAATATCAGAATCAATATCAACCAGACCTGGGTGTATAACATAAGAGATGAAGGGGGGTATAGGTCATCACAGTATTTCAAGATCATTTTATAAATAATATGAAATCTTTCGTTGGGCGTGAATTTGTAACAGAGCAACTTGAGACACTTCTGTGTCATAAAGGTGGTTCATGTTTTAGAGAGTATTCAAAATCAGTAATGTTGCTTAGGTGACAGTCATGGCCCCTGAGTATCTTGTTCATTCTTGTTACTATTTATAGGTGGATAACCAGCCTCTGCATGGATTCACCAATCACCAGGCAGTGGAGGTCCTCCGTAACACAGGTCAAATGGTACATCTACAGCTGGCAAGATTCCAACATGGACCAAAGTATGAGAAACTCCAGCAGTATTTAGGTGTGTGTTTCTTATTAATAAGAAATATTTACATGAAAATGAAATGAGAATTGATATATAATCCATTGTTTTCAATTTTTTTTTTTTTTTAATGATTCAACTGAAGTTAGTGGTAATAATATGGCTTTCCCCAATTTTATTTAAATGAAGGTCTCAATTTGATATGCTTAAATGTATTTTTATATCAGAACACAAGATCTTTGGAACCAGAAACATTGAAAACACATTACATTGAAAGTGACTTGATACATTTAGCACTCTCTAGAAATTTTAACAAAACAAATTTTTGATGAAAATTATGCTAAGAGGTGATTGCTTAGAACCATCTTACTTCTTTCTTGATGATAGATGGAACTTGTACACCTTGATTTTCTTGTGCTAACCCCCCCTCCCCTTCCATTTGATTTTCAGAATAGAACTTGATTTCAAAAGCTGTATGCTTATTTTCATGAATAAAACTTTTTTTCTTATCACAGTGTATATTTTTTTTCAATTTTTGGAAATAATTCACATCGAATCTTCCCAATTTTTCCTTCCTTACCAAACTCATGAAAAGTAATAAAACAGTAAAAGACAATTTGTTTCTGATATGGACGTTTCTGCAGAGCAACATGGAGAAAAAAAACAAATAGAATCACTAATTTTGCTGCTGGTTATTAGTATTTCCATGAATGTAATAAAAGTTAATTTGACGAGATAGATAATCACAACAGAGCACCATGAACATCTTCCCAGCACTGAATAATTGCAAAAGAAGCAAAAATCAATACTTTTATGATTTATGTCGTCTTTCATGTCTTGTGTCTATCCCATTATATATAATTTATGTGTAAATGTATTGCATTATTAGCAGTCTTCCTTTATAGAAGAACTAAGAGACTTACCTGGACCAGTTCATGTGCATGCAATATGTAAATTTGTGGCTAACCAATTTGCTAATACAGACACATTTATAGATTACCTATGTTGTCAGATGATAGTTTTTTTTTCATTTAAACTATGTGCTGCAGTTTGATGTGAAATTAGCATTTATGAATTGCACTGTATGAATTTGCCTCAACCGTTATTCTGCTATCTATTGTCAGATTTATGTTCACATGCATCACTTAATAGAATCTGCGTCTTTGTCGTTGAATTGATTACTGAAGATGACCTTTACCAATTGAAATTTTTAGCTCAGCCCCACTTCAATCCTCAACAAGGAATGGTCGTTGCCCCTCCCCCACCCTCCCAGATGGATGGCCCCGTGATGCCCCCCATGGATGGTCCAGCTACCATTACCTCCCCTATGATTGAACAGCCCACTCAGGCTCGACTGGTGAACCATATCCAACAAAACTCTCCCCTGGATCCACCCAGCCAACAAGTGGAGCTTCATGACATAACCCTGAGCACAGATGAAGATTATTGTGAGTGAAAACTGAGACATATTTTATTTAATTGAGGAGTCAATTCAATATTCACATTAGCAGTGTGAATGTCAACCAGGTTTTGGGATTACTAGGTACGTTTTTGAGTATACTGCTAGAAGCTGAACTTCCTGATCATATACACTTAAAATTCAGCGACACTGCAACTCTCTGTGAGTAAAGGCCATTAACTACTGCTCGCAGCTTTCCCATATAAATTATGTAGTACAAATAATACCTGAGTAAGCCCCAAGATGGCTTCTCTGATCCAAGTCTTCCCATTAAACAATAACATTTTGTGCCTGAAAACATTCAATTATGGTGAATGGTCTAATCCAGTATTGGAATCCTGTCATTCCATTACATTGTACAACTAAGCGTGACTAGGAATGATGATCACCCGAATAACAGGGAAAATAACAGTCTATATGTAAGACATCAATTCCTAGGGAGCAGTGTTTTACTCAATGAAAGATAGTGGGGTTATAGCCACCAAGAAATGAGTAGGAATTTGCTTTGTCATAGATGAGGATAAATGAGACATTTTAAACATTTATAGGATTTATTGCATGCTTGGTTTCTTTGTTTTTATCTCTAACTAATTCATGAATTTGATAAGCCTGAAAGAGAAGGCATTATAAATATTGATGATACAGATTCCATTAGTTTCAAATGTTTTCTAATCTATTAAAAAGGCCTCCAGGATAGTTTGGCTGAATTACTCTCAAGGAGATGTCTGTCTGAGATTAGAAAATCTAAAAACTTTACTTTTTCATGGGAAAATTAATCTGGCATTGAAGTGGATTAACAATTGATTGCTGAAGAACAATAAGCTGATCAATAAACCTAAAGGTCTGGTAAAGAGCAGAGAATTGTCTCTTTATCATATGGAGATCAAAGAAAAACTGAAAGTGTTTGGAGTTTTCTGTGATAGAAAAAATGCTGTGAAAGGTTTAGCTTTGAAGTTGACATAGAATTTCTATTTTATCTGTTGAACCTACCATGAACTAGAAAGGCTAACATACTTGTTTATGATCCTTGTTCAAAGCTGTTATTTATTTTATATAGGATATAAAGTTCCAATTGATATTTATGCTGAGTCAGTTATCCTGATTTTTTTTTTGCCCTAATTTAAAAATGACAGTCTTTTTATCTATTGTTAGTAAAAAATAAAATATAGACAAAATGAAAATTTAGGAAGAACTTTTGATTTTTTTTTTTTAATTAAAAAAACATACAAGTACTTCAATGAAAACTCTTGAATATTTCTTACTGAATGGATTTTATAAGGCTGTTGAATTTGGTCTTTGTGATACTGTACTGTCAGAAGTTTGCTAAAAGAGCAAAAACATACCATATTAGAGAAGACATGTGATAAAAGTTCAAACCTTGTGTCATGCTCCTTAGCTAGCATGTACAATAAAATTTTAAGATTAGTGTACAAAAAATAGATTTATTCAGCATGTCATGAGATAGCTAAAGAAGTGGACTGAAAGGTTAACAAGTTCTACCTACTACATCAAGTTCATGCCTAATCTGCAATGAAATTAAAATATTTTGTCATTACATAATTAAACTGTTTAATTTTTGATAGGAAAGTAAAGATTAGTGATATTTCTATTTCTAGCTGGTGATTTGTCCCCAGATGTAGAGGAAGCCATCAAAGCATGCTGGGAACCAATAGTAGGCAGCGAATTTGAAGTTGTGGTGAGTATTGTATAAGAAAGCAGGTCAGTCCATTTAGAAATGAAGTGGTTATAATGAGGCAATTTGAATTTATCATGGTCAAACAAATCAGTTTTGTTTGAATGTGATGGTCTTTTGCTATCTTTGTTGCATTAGGTTTAATTTATTTCCAAAAACAGAGCTCATTTGCTCTATAGCTGAGAGATAATTGCTGTATCTTTTTTTTTTAGCTCACATGAATTGCTTGCATGTTATATAATACAACTCACATTTAATGCTCGGATATAATTATTTCAGGTAGCCCAGCTGTCCAAGTTTCGTGAGGGGGGAGGCCTGGGTATCAGCTTGGAGGGGACAGTTGATGTGGAGAAGGGGGTAGAGGTTCGCCCCCATCACTACATCCGTTTTATCCTCAGTGATGGTCCAGTAGGCATCAATGGCCACCTCAAGAGTGGGGATGAACTGCTAGAGGTTTGTTTATGTCTAAGTAACCACACACTTATTGTCATGCAGCTTCTTTGTGTTAAATTTTTGTGATTTTAATTTTGTTATAAATGTGTCACTGGTGATCCTTCATCTGTGGTTATCAAGACATCTACATTTAATACTGTCCAAGTCTTAATATTTATAGAAACTTAGATTAGCAATGTTTGAGTTTTTCTTGAAAGGTAAATGGCAGACGACTGTTAGGCCTGAACCACAAGGAGGTGGTAGGGATCCTTAAAGAGCTTCCTCAACATGTGCGTCTCGTGTGTGCTCGCCATAAAGAGACTGAAAATTACACAGACCAGGAGAAATTAGAAAATGGTTATAACTCATACCTCCAATCAAACTATTCAGGTGTAAATGAAGTCTCTCCTATCACAGAGAGGCTTGTAAAAGCAAAGTCGGAGAACACGCTGGCCTCGACAGATGACAGTGTTCTCCAGCAGCTTATGAAGAACAAGTCTCGGTCCTTGGAGGAATTGACAAACTTTAAAATGTGGAGCATAGAGCCAGTTGTGATAGAACTTTGTAAGGGGGACAAAGGCCTAGGGTTCAGTATCTTGGACTACAAGGTATTCATAACAAACATTTACCTTTTATTTCAAATTTCACTGTGTTCAAACCTTGTTCAGTAAAACAAGCTTATAGTGAAGTGTCAGGGATGAACAATTTTAATTTGTTATAAACATAAATCGTTTTATTACATTTTCAACAGTGAAATACTGTAATTTATTAACAGTGTATTGAATAAAAGAGATATTCTGACACAGTGTGAAAGGATATCAAAATGGTATTCTCACAGTGTGAGAGAATATCAGAAGTGCTGCAAAACTCTCGATTTTACTTCCCTTCACAAAGAGTTTTTAAAAAAAATCCCTGGCCTGTTATAAGATAGAGAGAGTAAATGAACCATCCTGACAGAGACTAAAACTGCCAAAGTTTCTCCAAATATGTTGTTAAAAATCCATGTTTACAACGTTTTTCAATCTCTTAATTGCTTAGCTATGATGCTCAACCACTCAGCTATGACCCCATAGCCTATGACACTGTGTTACGAAAAGACAGAGGTAAAGGGAAAATCAAAGAAAATGTAATAAACAGAAAATACAATGTTTTGTAAATGAATATGGAATTTATTTCACTTGTGTGACAGGATTTTTTTTATATTTTCACTCGTGCTTCGCACTCGTGAAAATATCAAAAATCCCGTCCCACTCCTGAAATTAATTCCATATTCATCTACAAAACATTGAATATCCTCTATATATCCTATAAGTTTATAATGCATTTTAAAACCACTGGGAATGGAAACCACTGTTGTGAATTCACTATAAGCATGTTTGCTGTAAGTGTGTTTCATTGTATTTCACAGAATATTGAATCATAAATAATATCGCATTGGAAGTATGAGATTTAGAATCAGAGAGAGCTTTTTATGCAAAACATACTGTATACCAGGTTATTTTTGCTTCTTGTTATTTTCGCCCTTTCACATTTGCAAACAATTTTGCCCCGTTTTAAATTCTCCCAGTCACAGTTCTATTTAAGAAATTATACTGTCTTCTTTGAATTTGTACCATCTTGAATTTACCCACTTGTGTCTTGGGCGAAAGGGGTGAAAATTTCCCTGTATACAATTATACAAAATTTTACTGTGAGAAAAACTATACGTCTTTTATCATTGTATTGACAATGAAAAATATTTTAAAGTAAAGACTAAAAAATGTCTTGCATTTCATTGAATTATATCGGGAATATCTATGATTTGAGAAAGGAAAGACTACTCACTTATTAGAAATTACAAAGATTCTTCCTTTGATATTTGTGTATTAAAAATAGTTATATTACCTGACAGGACCCAGAAAATGTTAGCAAGACTGTGATAGTAATCAAGAGTTTGGTCCCAGGGGGCGTGGCCCAGGTTGATGGACGTCTCCTTCCCGGGGATCGACTTATTTTTGTCAACGATGAAATGCTGGAGAATGCCAGCCTTGATGAGGCAGTGGATGCCCTGAAGGGGGCACCAAAGGGGATCGTGAGGATTGGTGTCAAAAAAGCTCTGCCTCTGGGGGGCAGTGAGGCTCACCAGCAGGCTGAACTACAGGTAATAGGAATTTTAAATGTGTTGATGTAAATGTTCTAAATAATTGAATTGTCTGTATGCAAGAAACGCTTGAAAAAGAGTGTTTTATCTAATAATGCTATTTAATCTTTCCAGTGTAAATCACTTGAGTTTGGTCTTTTTTACTTGATGATACTTTATATCCTATATAAGAATTAAGTTGTTTTATTAAGGAGTCAGTTCAGCAAATATCACTCAAAAAAATTATTTTTTAATAAAATATATAGTTCAAAATTCTGTATAAGTACCAAACCATTTGATCTATTGTTTTATAATCAGCTTGGGATTGTTTATTAAAATATATAGTTCAAAATTCTGTATAAGTACCAAACCATTTGATCTATTGTTTTATAATCAGCTTGGGATTGTTTAACCAAGAGTAATTTCCCTTGCCTTGGCAGCATTCCACCCTTCCCTTCCCCAGTGTGGGTTACCCAGAGCCCAGCTTCCTTCCATCCCCTCCCTCACAAACTCCGTACACCACTTCTCCAGAAAAAATACAACGAAAATTCACTGAACAATACTCCTCCACTGAGAATGTTGCGCACAAGCAAAATGACAGTTTTTATGAGAGTGATGAGGAGGTAACTTCTCCTAGAAAGAACAAACCAATTACCTCCCCTCGCAGGAGTCTTGACCGACGCAAGAGGGAGTCCACAGGATCTAATGTTTCATATGAAAATTCACAGGTGTTGCTGGAAATCAAAAACAGTAACATTCAGAAGGACACAGTGCAGAAAAAATTCCCTGTTCCCCAGCCTCGATCTACATCTGTTTTACAGGACTATGTCAACAGCATGCCCCCAGAAAATCTGCTAAGCCTTACTCAGGAAAAATTACCAGCTGAAGGTAAATCTCCCCTTGAGAGCCCAAGGTCGGAATCTCCAGCGGATTACGAAAACACAACATTTGCTTTGCCCACTTATGAAGAGGCTATCTCGGGGGATCCTCAGCCTGATTTTTTCAACATGAGTGACCTTGACCTCCCAGCAGAAGCACCGCCCGTGCCTCCCAGATCAGAGTCGCAGGAAGAACTATTTATAGAAACTGAGCAAATCCTAAACCACACCCCTCCTGATCCACCATCTGATTTTGAAGAGGTACTGGTTTTGCATTCTTTGATCCATATGCATGTTTAAAAATAGTTTTATGAGCCCTTTGTATAGTTCTGTACTTTTTGGATTATTGCTCAATGATTTTTATCAATTTTGAGTTCTTTGGCATAATATTCTCAAACAAGAGTCTAAATTTTAGCTTGATGAACTTTAATGGTTTGTTAATACATATTTTTTGTTGTAATTTTCCTTACACAGACAGTAAAAATGATGATGCAATCCATTTTGTTAGAAGAAAAAAACCCAGAACTTTGTATCCATGATCTTGTAATCCTTCCCCTTTTCTCTCATTTTTTTCCTTGATTTAGTTTTGTTAATGTGTGTGTGTTATTTCAAGACTAAAATAATGTTTTAAGGGATATAAGTTGAAGTGTTTTTAAAAAATACAATGAAAATTTAACAAGACTTAGCTTACAATGTGCATGAAATAAAAAAAGTGTTGTGATGGTTTTGGCCTGAAATTTGTGCAGCTCCTTACCATAATTAATCTGTGTCCATTGTCATGTGTTGCTCTAATCCCTATGTGTGGTTAATTTCTGACAGTCACCCAGGAGTGAAAAGGGAGGGTCAACCCCTAAAAGGACCCCTCCCCCTATTCCTCCTAAGCCTAAAGTAGTATCGCCAAAAGTACAACAGATTGTTGTAAAGCCAGCAAATAAGGTAACCCCGGACTAACAAATCTGATTACCTCCCTTGTCTAATACATGTAGCAGTAATATATGCACCTGGTCAGCACAAATAAAGCTAACTAATAATTTTTTTTTTACCATTGAGAAATTCTGCTATATAAATTGAAGTAGAGACCATTGGATTTTCTATTTTAAAAAGTTCTACGTTTACTTATAAATTTGTAAAATGATATAAGACAATATTTTAAAAAGATTTATTTTGAATAAAAACCTCTGATAATATATTCTGTATACTAGTTGTATTTTTATTAATATTTCTAAAATTGGGTGCAGAATTTTTCTTTGAAATATGGATGTGGTATTTTTTTTTATTTGTAGTTTTCACCATAGTAAACACTTTTTTTTTCAACATAATGGAGTAGAAAAAATTTAAATATAGGTAACAGTCTTATAAAGAATTATTTACATTTGGTCTCAACTAAACATTGCTGTATTTGATTTCATTGCTTTTTAGATGGATTTATTTTTGAAAAGTAGTTTGCAAGGAAGACTTAATCCATGTAATTACGGTACTGAAAAAATCAGTAAATACAAATATGCATCCCTACTCCAAGAATAAGACCTTTTACATCAGCATTAATTCTGATATTCGAAGTCCTTGATTTATATAATCAATACTCATCAATTATTTGCATGCATATTGATTAAACGCCTGTTATGTTTAATGTATTTTATACTGGTGACAGGAACTAACACTAATATGTACACCAACCTTTTACAAAGCAGATTTGTCTGAAGTGGTCTGTTTTTTCCTTGCCTTTGTGTCACTGTAACTTTTAGCATCTTGGTTAATGTAGGCAAAAAATAATGAAAGTGCTTTTGTGTCAGTTATCAGATATTAACATTTCAGTGACTTTTTGTGTATACTTGATAAATACACTTTAAAGAACTTGCCTATAATTAAATTTCATTGATTCCTCCTTACTTCTGCACAGCTTTTTATCAGAACAGTTTGTTAATATATCTTACATGTATGTATTAAGTTTGAAAATTTGTTTATACGAAGGTCAAAGGATACCCAGTCTTGGGAAAGTTGGGTTTTATCACAACTTCTATATTTTGTTGTTTTTAGATTCAAATTAATTAGTTCATAGTAATATTAGAGTATTTTTATGAAAGGGAGGGGGATGTTTTTTCTCATGTTTTTGCATTGAGTTTCAGTGTAGATATAAAAGTAAAGATTCTGGGATAATGATAAAAATAAGACTGCTTTGATAGGGAAATTATGTTATTATTATGTGTTTTAGCATCAATGAAACCTGTACCAGCTGTTTTTACAAATTTCTGTAAGAATTTTTTTTTTGTGTATCCTATGCCCTTAAAAGCAAAATTAAAATGATTCAGATAATTTTTGTTGTTGAAATTAGTATATTATAAAGCTGGGCATATGCTAAATTAAATTTGTCAGGCAAAATTTATATAATTGGAAATGTTTCTTAGCTCTGTAACACACTTTTGTGATTGATGCAGATTTCACCTGTAGTTTTTGGTATATTATAGGACACACCCCCACCCCCGCTTCCAGTTTCCTTACCCCCAGCTCTGGATGAAAAAATTCACCACACTGAGGAGGAGCTAAGCATTAAGGTGGGTCATCAAAATCAAACCCTTCAAGTCTTATTTAAGTAGTTGCCACATTTTTTTTTCAAAGTTCCCCTTGCAGTCTGAAGACATATATCTATACATGTATAGAGACATACAACAGATCTTTGAAAGCTTTTTTTTTTATTTCGATTGTATCAGATCTGAAATAAATTACAGACACTAGCTTCAGTGCCTTTGAAGAACTGCACTTTATGTCCAATTTATTTCCTGTATAAAAATTCTTAGTGATCAAATTTCATTAATACGGCTCAAAATTTTAATGTCTTCACATTTAAAATGTCTTGTAATCTTATTTACATGCTGCTAAAAAGTATACTGCTAAACTGAAAGTAAAGATCACAAGCACTAAGGTTTCAAAGTCTTTCTCAATATCTGAATAACTCTGCTTTAATAATATATAGATAATTAATCCCAAACGAGTAAGGGTAAGTTGCATTAACAAAATAACAGACCTTTATGTAAGACTTGCATGTGATATATGAATCACTATGGCTCGCATTTCTATTTTTAACGCTTTTAGCCAGAATACAGAGAAATCATACTCCAACTTGTGTCACAAATATATAAAGGAAAAGACATACTAAAATTATTATCATGGTATATTTTGTATTATGGTATTTTATGTATTTTTGGTAAAATTAAGATATTTTCATTGATATGCATTCATTAAGTAGATCAGAAATTTCTAATGAATGGTATATTCGTGTATGAATTGTTATCATAAATTAGATATTCATATAAAGCACGATCAGTACCCAACCCAATATTGTACTTCAAAATATGATAAATAGAATAAGGCATGTAATGATATTTATCAAATAGAACTCTCGTATTAATATATAATTTGTTCAAGTCAGCATGCTCCAGGTATATACTCTCTTAAACTGTTCTTCTAGTTATTCTATGAATTTTGCAAAGAATCTGATGGATATTGATATAGTGTAAACATTGATGCACTTGTAAAATATGAACCTTGTACAGTATCTTGATGGTACTTGGGTTATAATGATTTTTGTGTAGCCACGCAAAAAGATATAAATATTTCCTTTATACTGTATTTTTATGATTGTTCATAATTGGATAATGATATATATGGAAGAAAAGATGAGAATTTTGTTAACCTTCAAATCAAACAAGTTTATTCATGTATCAAAATACTTGATATTTCATTTCAGGTATAATTTATGATGATAAGCTAAGTGACATGTGTTTTTTTTTCCTTCTATAGACCAGGCACCAAAAGACAAACAGTGTTGACAGCCAGCAGTCATCCTCATCAGATCAACCAATCACAAGTGACCTTACAAACTTTCACTCACCATCCATTATAAATTCAGCCAATCATATCACACCTCCCTCTTTGTCACCACTGTCTTCACCACGCCTAGCTCGCACATTGTCTGGAGGAGTAGATTCACTTCCTGTGTCACTGGAGAAGGTCATCAAAATCAAAAAGGCTAGAGACCCTCTGGGTATGTCCTATCTTACTCAAATTTTGTCAACTGATGTCATAATTTTCAATGAAATCAATGTAGAAAAAAATATAAATTAAGTGAAAACTGGTATGCAGTGTAGTTCTATGTTACAGTGACTTTAAGGATCCTGTCAAAGTCTTCTTCTTAATTCTTTTGAATATTTATAACATTTATACAGTGATCTGAGTAGATGTTTTTTTTTGGTGGAGGGAGGGGGGGGGGATGCTGCATAAGTTGAAAAAAATAGTGAAGCTTTAAAATCATGGAATTTCTTGACCTTGACATTGAGAAGAAGGAGAACTATTTTTAGGTCTGACTGTGGAAGCCGTGGATAAAGGTGCTAATGGCTGTATGGTTAAGTCCCTCATTAACTCAGGTGCAGTCAGTAAGGATGGCAGGATAAAGGAAGGGGACTATATTGTGTCAGTCAACAATGAAAGCATGAGGAGGATCACAAATGCTCAGGCACGGGCTATCATCAGGCGAGCCTCACTACAGGGACTAGACATCAGGTATGGGGTCCATGAGGGTATTCCACAGCTTTAAGAGAAGTGTGCTATTTTAATGAGTATATTTTAGGTCACTTGAATCATCCAGGTGTCCACTTAATATCTGTTTTTGTCCATCATTAATAATACATAAACTTTTCACATTATTTATTTCTTCATTAAACTACTGGACCAATTTCGCAGAGCACTTCTCTCTAGAGTGATATAAGAAATGGTGAAACTAGGATAAATCTTATTTTAAAGAATCACAAGGAGAAATTATAAACTTTTTTTAAAGTTTTCCTATAAAGTGGAGATTCCAATTTATTTAAACAATGGCCCTTGGGATAATGATGGGGGCACTAAAGGGGTTCAGTGTTTTACATAGAAATACAGTAAAACTTCTCTAATTTGGACACAAGTGGTTCCTTTATAATTGGCCAGATTAGACAACATTCTAGATAAGACAACATTTTAACAATTAAATTTACTGAAAAGGACTAAATTTACACCATAATAGTCAAGATTTCTGAATATCCAGAGTAGACAAGTTTTACTGTATTTTTAAAGCTTAAAAAAAAAAAATCTGCAAAGGAATTATAGGGCTATAATTTATCAAGCTCTAATGCAAGCATTCTCTTAATGTAAATTTAAGATTGTTCAAAGCATGTTCCTTAGGATATCAAATGGCTACAAAGGGGGTCTAAACTTTACAAAGAAATATAAATGGAAAAAAAAAATCATAAATTTCTTCCAAAGAACTGCTGGGATTTTGAATTGACAAATTAATATTCAATCATCACTCAGTGAAGATTTAAGATTTTTCTAAGCATGTTCCCTGCGACAAGGATAGAGAAACAAAAGGGATCCAAAGTTTTATCTGGAAGTCTGAAAATCCGAAGAAACTTCTCAAGGAATGCAAGGCGACAAATTGTCAAACATTTTTATGCAAGCACTGATAAATAGTGTATAGATTTGAGTTTTTCCACATTTTGTCCCTTGGATCAAGTGGAATGTGTTAAGGCTAAAAGTTTTATAGTGGCATATATAGATAATAGAACACATAATGTGGTTGGGAAAAAAGTTTTCTGACTGACACTCAGATGACATTGATAGCTGCGAGCCTCTTGTATAAAACTTAAAATCAGCAATTTAAAACTTAAAAAGTAATTACAGTTGAACTTCGATATCTCGAACACTGATATCTGGAATACCATGGATATGTCGAAGTGATTTGGAAGTCCCAACCACTTATTTTTTTTAAGTATTTTACCCCTGATATCTCGAATCCTCGGATATCTTGAGGTTTTTTCTCGGTCCCATCCAGTTCGAGATAACGAGGTTTGACTGTACATTGTCTATGACTGTATATGTGATTTTGTTATACATGTAATTGTAGTGTGGCATACATTCCTAAAGAAGATGCTGCTGCCTATCAGGAAACTGCTGTTAACAAACCCCCCACACCCCCTCACCCCTCCATGATGCCCTCCCCAAAGTAAGTGACCAATACCAATCATTGTAGTGCTTTTAAAATTCATTGCAACATTTACCATGATTATTCAGGGATATGGGTTAAGCATGGTGTTGAGATTTTTTTTCATGACCTGTTTCTTTATATTTGATGCTCTCAAAGGATATTTCCTAAGCATTATCGGTAAGATTTAGAAACGGCTGGGTGTTTTTTATTCCAGTATTTATATATCCAGACTTCCCTGATTTCATTTCTCTGCACAGTTTCAGTTTAGAAATCATATTCTATTACAATCATTTTATTCTGTTTACCATTGGTATCTTAAACATGATGTCTACTTAAGATTTTTTCTTGAAATATAATGTTCATGTTGTGTTTCCTACCTGTAATACCCGCTATGTAAAATATTTCATAATATTTCAAGATAATACAATTCTTCCTTCTCTTTACTGTAAAAAAAAATAAAGAAAATTTTTTTTGAAGATAAATACCCTTTCTGAATGTATAATTGAAAAAGTAATTTTTATTGATTCGAGCATTATAAGTTAATTTCTTTGGTAGCATTTACTGTAGTTTATTGGCATCAGCCTGAGAAATTCTTCTAGATTTTTACCTCATTACATGTCATTTAACTTGTTTAGAAAGAATTATTAAAAAGATATAAACAAGTACAAACCCTAATGAACGTGATTATTTTAAGCAGTTACTATTGAAAATCAGTAAATTGATATCAAAGATGATACATTAGGGTGACATATTAGTCTGTTGAATGCTGACATTAAAGATTTTAAAAAAGGACATTTTGCAGGGTAACATGGCATTATTCAGAGTATTTGTAGGAGACATGTCTAGCCAAGAAAAGATGATATTTTATTTTAATACACAATTTTAATTCACATTACAGTTCCAATCTGTCCCCTCTGGCCTCACCCAGGAACTTAAAACCTGAATCTTCTCCTGAGAGGTCTCCCCTAAAGAGTACCCCACTACAGAGGACATCAGAGACTGTGTCCCCCAGGGTTAAGTCCCTGACCTCTGATGGTTCCCCTGCCACAGGAAATCAGACGTGGGGACCCCCACGAACTGTAGAGCTGGAGAGGGAACCAGGCAAAAGTCTGGGAATCAGCATTGTGGGTAGGTGTCTTTAATGTATTCCTATAGAAATCCTTGTAATAATGATACAGAGTTACATAGAATGACATTTTTTGTGTTAATTTACTTGAAATAATGATACAATTTTACGGCTAGATTGACATTTTTTGTTTTAATTTTCAGGGGGTAGAGTGGACATGTTTAATGTTCAGACAGAACAAATAATCTCAGGAATCTTTATCAAACATGTCTTAGAGGACAGTCCAGCTGGCCAGAATGGGACACTGAAAACAGGGGACCGAATTCTGGAGGTCAGTTTGGTCTAGTATTCATAGAATATTTATTATACATTGTATGACAAAAATTATAATCCTTTTAAATTTTTCTCTGTGTTTTTAGGGCTCTATACTGAATTGTACCAAATAGCAGGTGCACTTATGTTGTCACTGTCCATCACTTTGCTCTATAACCCCAGTTATTTTCTGTCTTCAAACTTTTTATATTGTTAACCATTAATAAAACAAATTTTAGCAATAGGTCGACGTTTTATCATGATTGGTTAACAATATGCATCTGTATTGGTATAATATTATTATTAGTTGATGTAAATTAATACATTTCTGCTATGATAGTGAATTTTAATAAGGACTCAGCATTCACTAAAAATCTGCTTGTCCATTGGAAAACTTGCCAACAGATGTTACTTGTCCAAAGTCATTCTACGTGTGTGACTTTGAACAGATATTAAGGAATTTGTAGAAATCTGTTTTCAAGAAGGAAGTAGTTGTACATGAGATTGACTTAGAGATTTGTTTAAACATAAAAATAAGAATGTTACTGATCTACAATGCAGTAACACCATTGTTACCAATCACTCTAGCCCTTTAACAATATCTATGAAAAAATGACTGAGCCCTTAAGATTGTATGGTTTTATATTTGATGTTTGATATTTTTTTGAAAATTGCAGAGCTGCAGTGTAGTTCAGTGAATTCTTAAGGGATTTTTTGTTAATGCAAATCTGTCAAAGCACACTGTCTCAGAGTCAATTTATTAAGCTTTATTATATCTAATGGGCCCTGAATGACTTTATGAGTCTTGTAATTGTATATTTAACCGTAATTGTAGGTGGATGGAAAGGATTTAAGAAATGCTGCTCATGATCAAGCGGTAGACATCATTCGTCATGCTAAGTCTCCCGTCAAATTTATAGTGCAGAGCTTGTGTGATCCTGCCTGTGTGAGTTCAGCATGCATATAAAACAATAAAAAATAAACAAATGAGTATTACTAGTATTTTTCATAAACAAATTTTAAAGTACAGCAGTAAATTGTTTTTACAGTTAATATGTTTTAACACATCTAATCTTTATACTGTATTGTTGTCACTGTTTATTTTTACAGCCCAGGGACTTGGAGAATGATACAAAGTCGGTACATTCATATGATGAAGCTTCTTTAGCAGCTGGGCAAACATATCAGGTACAGTATACTACTAGGTCGTTCATTCTGTCCTTAAAATGTATTGTCCTAAGGACCCAATTTAATGATAGAATTTATTCCATTTGTTGGGCATGTCGCAAAATAAACAAGGGCAGACAATACTAATCTAGGCATATATATATATATATATATATATATATATATATATATATATATATATATATATATATATATATATATATATATATATATATATAAATGGAATTTTTAGTGTGACACAAATTTAGCAATTTGTCCTTAAAAAGCAATATTTAATTTTAGCGAGAAGTAATTTTAATGATTTTATGATCCCTATAAATGTAATGGTAACCTCCAATGTGGGGTGTACTGTTAGCAGTATTCAATTTTAGGGATCTCACACCCTTGCTAAGAATGTTAAAATGGAATCCTCTCTAAAATTTCTATGAATACGATATTAAAAACTCAGAGAGTTCTAGATGTTACCATATGGCAGAAAAAAAAATTGAATTTTATTTTTTCTTCATATGGATTAATTTTTAGCTCACCTGAGCTGAAAGCTCAAGTGAGCTTTTCTGATCACCCGTTGTCCGTCGTCCGTCCGTCTGTCCGTCCGTCCGTCTGTAAACTTTTCACATTTTCAACTTCTTCTCAAGAACCACTGGGCCAATTTTAACCAAACTTGGTACAAAGTATCCTTGGGGGAAGGGGAGTTTAAATTGTTAAAATAAAGGGCCAAGTCTCCTTACAAGGGGAGATAATCAAGAAAAGACAAAAATAGGGTGGGGTCATAAAAAAATCTTCTTCTCAAGAACCACTGGGCCAGAAAAGCTGAAACTTATATGGAAGCATCCTGGGATAGTGTAGATTCTAAATTGTTAAAATCATGACCCCCGGGGGTAGGGCGGGGCCACAATAGGGAATCCAAGTTTTACATTGAAATATATATAGGAAAAATCTTGAAAAATCTTCTTCTCAAGAACCACTGAGCCAGAAAAGCTGAAACTTATGTGGAAGCATCCTGGGGTAGTGTAGATTCTAAATTGTTCAAATCATGACCCCCGGGGGTAGGGTGGGGCCACAATAGGAAATACAAGTTTTACATTGAAATACATAGGAAAAATCTTTAAAAATTTTCTTCTCAAGAACCACATAGCCAGAAAAGCTGAAACTTAAATGGAAGCATCCTGGGGTAATGTAGATTCTAAATTATTCAAGTCATGCCCCCCGGGGGTAGGGCGAGGCCACAATAGGGAATCCAAGTTTTACATTGAAATATATAGGAGAAATCTTGAAAAATCTTCTTCTCAAGAACCACTTAGCCAGAAAAGCTGAAACTTATGTGGAAGCATCCTGGGGTAGTGTAGATTCTAAATTGTTCAAATCATGACCCCCGGGGGTAGGGCGAGGCCACAATAGGGAATACAAGTTTTACATTGAAATATATAGGAAAAATCTTTAGAAATCTTCTTCTCAAGAACCACTGAGCCAGAAAAGCTGAAACTTATGTGGAAGCATCCTCAAGTAGTGTACACTCTAAATTGTTGAAATCATGACCTCGGGGAGGGGGGGGGGGGTGGGCACAATAGGGAATCCCAAGTTTTACATTGAAATATATAGGAAAAATCTTTAAAAATCTTCTCAAGAACCACTGGACCAGAAAAACTGAAACTTATGTGGAAGCATCCTGGGGTAATGTAGATTCTAAATTGTTCAAATCATGGCCCCTGGGGGTAGGGCGGGGCCACAATAGGTATTACAAGGGGGGAAGTCTGGTAATGAACAGCATGGCCAAAGTTACTCAGGTGAGCGATGTGGCCCATGGGCCTCTTGTTTGGGATGGAAGGTGTTTAAAAGCTTTACAGGGTCTGTTATGATTTATTTGGTGATCATTTGCAGCTGTATCTGTATACTCCCAAATCATGCCGGAGTACATTCCCTTTGATTTTCTACATTGCAACTATATCGGATGTTTTCTTACTTTGGCGAGGGCTGCCAGAGACACAGTTGAATTATTCATACTGATCTAGGTATCAGATTATTAAAAATAAGTTGAAGGGTGGACTGAATTAACTTAGAAAGTCTCACACAATGCAATAATTTTCACTTTTAGAAACGTACAATGTTATTAATAAATTAACGGCTAATGATAAAAAAAAATATTAGAAAATCTGGAAAACTGATTATATATATATATATTAAAATTTGATTTGTGAAGGGTAAGAGTCAACTAAAAAAAAATTACTGAATTCTCAACAGATTTAAGTAATTTCTAAATCAGAAATTAGAGAAGACTTAGTGTAGAACTGCCTATTCCAAAATAAACATGTATCAACATTTCACATGTAACCATACCATCCAGGAAATCCTTTGCAGACCAAAAAAAGAATTCCTGTAAGACCTGAAGGATTTTTCTTAATCAGAATTTTTGAATGCTTTTCAGACAGTAGAGGTACCAATACTGGAGTCAGTGGTGAACTTGACCAAAGACCACAATGACAGCGAGGATGAAGATGAATTTGGTTACACAAAAAGTAAGTTGTTCATCAACCTCCACAAACAGGACCCTGTTTTACAAAAGAACTTATGACTAAGATCAGAATGTTATTATGTGAATAACATTCATGTTTGTAAGTTCTTTTGTAAAACGGGCCCCAGCAGGTCTTTTCTTTGTAGTTAAGAGATGAAGAGAAGCCTTTTGTTTGTAGAGAATTATATTGAACCAAAAGGAGTTATTTTTACCACTTTATAGATACGTGTACATGAAAGAGCGTTTCTTCCTCTGTTTAATAATTGTTTCAACCAACAACTAAGTTTGTAGTAAAGATATGTAGAAAAAAGTTATAATGTTGTGAAATTGTTATGTTCTCAAAGAGTTGCATCCCTTTAAGCAATGTTTAGGATTGGAATTAAATGCAGGACGTTGACTAATGATGCCTCATAAAGAAATCAATATAAATTTAGTCTTTGGAGAATATTTTACTTTCACTTGAATTCTTGATCGTGGGCTAAAACCCATAGGCTAATATTGTCTTGCAACCTTGTATTAATTCTGTAACATCAGATGAGAAAGGCTAGTTATTTTCCAGCCCTTGTCAATGTAAGGTGCTGAAATTGAAACCCTGCAGTTTAAATACCTAGACACTTATGCCTCGCCCAATATACATTTTTTCAAGGACCCCATATATTTCCGTATTACCCCTCTATAAGTGTCTACATAACAAATTTATCCTGTCAAAGATTTTTTAAATAAAGTTCATTTTCTCTGAGTTACGCAAACCGCTCTGTAATAATTGTTTTCATTGTGACATCATTTAATGCTAATGTGTCGTCAGTTAATAGGCTCCTTGCGTGTTCAAATGAAAACAACATATTGAATATGATCTGGACAGTATGGCTCGTGGAGGGGGCATATTGATTTGATGTGTGGTGGGTAGGTCACATGGAGGGGGCACATTAACAATATAATGTGGGTAGGCAGCATAACATGGTTTAATACAGTATTCTTCTCGAACAATGAAATTTCAAGATTTTTATCAGAGGCAGGATAAAAACAAATACATACTTTGAAAAAAAAACAAGGAAAAACTATTTTGTATTGTTGCTGATGTCAGAGAGGCAAGCTGGACTTTGAAATCATGGACCCCCCCCCCCCCCCCGTGTTCTATCTCACATATATGTTCATTTTCTTCATACAGTCTGATACATTCTAAGGGTTTTCTTATAGTTGAAGTAGCTGTTTTATAACCATTTTTCAATAACATCAGCAAAATCTTGATCTATTTGTTATTTTTTCACTCTTAGCTCTTTTGATTTGGACCTGGCAGAATCTAAATAAGGGATTGCATATTTTAAAAATAACATGGGCACATTATATTGTATTATATTAATTAACAATTATTAAGGTTTTCTACTTCTTCATTAGATCATTCATGCTCTAAGATACCAAGAATGTATGCCCTTTGAAAGTCTCTGAGTTAGAAAAAAAAGGATGAAAATTACAAAATTTATGTCCCTTGATAGAGACTGTCTTAAACATGATTACTGGTACAGAGAATCCCGTAACTGTCATGCTGAAATGTCAAGGGTAATCAAGATAACTTAATTATACAAACTTGCTTAATAACACAGCTCATCCACTGAGCTCTAGACCCACTGAATAACACAGACATTACTAAATCATTCTGAATACAATCTAAATAAGTATCCCCTAATGCTGAAGAAATTATTTTTAGAATCAGAGTTCCCTGTTTATTTTGTCTAACTGAGGAGGCCTTGTTTAGGTTAATACAAGCTTAGGATGATGTTTTCTCCTTATAACAGAGTGGGTCATATTTTGAAACTATATTGGTTTACATCAAAATGATATAGAATTTTATTTGTATTGTCATCATACACACACACACACAACAAAAGCAAAACAAAATAAGGTGCATGTATTTCCATTTTGTCATAATACAAATCTCACTGACCTTGAAATGAACTTTTGCAATTTTATAGGATTAATACAAAGTAGTAAATTTTCTGCAGTTGTCAATTTTTCTGTCATAAAATGCTTGTGTCATTGCAACAGCAGGCAACTCTAAACCAAATGTTACATAGCTTTTTATAGTTAATATTAAAAAAAAAAAGATAGAAATATAATACAGTATGTTGCTGGGTTACATTGTGCATGAAATACATCCCTCTTAGATACAATATGCAAGAAAAAAAGGCCAAAATAAATATTCATCCAGCATTTGCAATGACTGGTGCCAATCTCAGATGTTTATGATCTTTGCCATTTAATTTAACTTTGAAGATATTGAACTGTAATATAAATTTATGAGTAATACAGGTTCTGACACAGCAATGGATGGATGAATTTAAGCAGATGTGAAATTCAAAATAAAATACAAAATTAATCAGGGGGCAATGCTGCATGTTACAAACTTTTGGGCTAGTATATACAATGCAGACAGATGTCTGGTGTTAGTGGGTAAATCTTGCCATAGCATATTGCTTGTGTTTACAAACCTAGGAATATTATGGGGAAATTGATTTAAGTCAAATATTGTAAGACCACTTAATAGTTTGTAATGATTCAGAACAGCTAAGAAGTAATTACATTTGTTAGCTCTACTGCTTGTTGGCTCTTCCAATAAAGTATGCATCATTTATCTGTTTGTCCATCTGTCAGTTTGTCTGTTTTTAAACAATTTACAAGGATTTAAAATTAATTGGGAGTGGAGTCTACACAAACACCAAAAATATCCCTACTATTTCATAGGCAACATAGTAGGGCTTATCCCAGGATCAAACTATGAAGACTGTAGTCAGGGCTTATCCCAGGATCAAACTATAAAGACTGTATGCTGGGCTACTCCCAGGAGAGTAAAACCAAACCCTGCAGGCATCAATGCAAAATCCATGCCCAGGCTGATCCCAGAAGGCACTAAAGACAGAAAAATCATGTCCTAGGCTGATCCCAGCAAGCATCAAAGACAGAGTAACCATGCCCTGGGCTGATCCAAGTAGGGGTCAGAGACAATGCAAACCAATGTCTAGGACTGATCCAAGCAGGCATCAAAGAAAGAAGAAAAACATGAATTGGGCTGATCCCATGAGGCATTAAGTACTGTGTAAACTTTGCCTGAGGCTGATCCCAGCAGGCATTAATTAAAGACATAGTAACCGTGCCCCATGCTGATCCCAGTTGGCATAAAATAAAAAGCAAACCATGTCTAGGGCTGATCTAAGCAGGCCTCAAAGAAAAAAAAAGAACATGCTTTGGTCTGATCCCATGAGGCCTCAAAGACAAAGTAATCTATGCATGAGGCTGATCCCAGAAGGCATGGGAGACAGAAAAAAACATTCCCTAAGCTTATCCCAGAAGGCATGAAGGCAGAAATACCATGCCCTGGGCTGATCCCAGAAGGCATTAAAAACGGAAAAACCATTCCCTGGACTGATCCCAGAAGGCATCAAAGCCAAAAATTCCCTTGGTTGATCCCAGAAGACATTAAAGACAGAAAAAAATCATTCCCTGGACTGATCCCAGAGGGCATTAAAGACAACAAAACCATACCCTAGGCTGATCCCAGAAGGCATTAAAGTAAAGCAAACCATGCCCAGGGCTGATCCCAGCAGGCAATAAAGACAGAGTAACAATATACGAGACTGATCCAAGCAGGGACAAAAAAGCTACAGAACCATTCCTAGGGCTAATCACAACAGGAGTCTGTAAAATATATTTTCAACATTCTTTTATTTTTTTTTTTTTGGTCCGATTCCCCAAAATATTGGTACAATTGTAAATTACACTAAATATGTTTTTTTTTTTTCATCTGAACTATCAATTCTGATGAGTGATGGTGGTTCTTTTACAAACAATAGAATCATTTTTTTAAAGTATTTTAAACATTACTAATCACTGACCAGAAGGCAATGCAATGGTAATGTGTGCACATCTGTCAATATGTAAATAATTTATCAGAATGCTTCTCCTACTGATTAGTGTGAATACCATTTGATACAAGTTATGTTAAGGAGGGATTCTTGTCTGGTTTCTGACTAGATGAAATATTCAAAGTACATTTGCTTGTATGTTTTGTATATTTAGATGTAAGAGATTTGAAAGATCATATTTTTCTTTCCTCATCACAATTGTACAACTTTAAATAGAAATGGTAAACTGATTTGAAATCTAGTAGGGACTATATTTTTGGCGGAATGGCGGCGTATGAAAATATCTTCTTTTCTGCCTCTCAAAATAATTACCGTAAATCTGGAAATTTTTGCTGTAGATAAATTTTTAGCAAATTTGCACATGCATTGCATTCGCAAAAATATTTTTCTTAAAAATAAATCAACAACAAAAAATGTTTTTATCTAAAGATTACTTAAAGATTACATCGTTATATATATTTTATGTACATGTGTGATTTATGAAAATGTTATGAAAACTTTCAACACGTTGGATGATTTATCTTTTCTAATATTTTCATCTGATTATTGAACGTTGGCATAGTTTAATATTGTATATTTATTCGTAATTTATTGTATGTACATGCGTAACTTACAAACGTTTAAGAAAATTTTAAGAGCTTTTTATATTTTAATTCAAATGACAATTCGCAAAAATTTTAAACGTAAAAATTAATCGACAGACTTTTGACCCAGATTCACAAAAATAAATCGACGTAAAAATTTCCAGATTTACGGTATAGAACAATGAATTTAGTTATAATTTTTACACAATCAAAGACTTGGAGAAAATTTTTAAATGTAAGTTAAATTAGTAATAAGGGACTAAAGTTATAAAATATATCAAATAAATATGAATTTACAAAGAAACTACAATTATGTTAGCTTTTAAAAGCTTCCAATCTAAGTTCAGATTTGAGCCAAAAATCCGTAAAAAGTGTTTTTTCTCTCTTAGCAAATGGTCAAAACTTTTTGTTTTTATATTATTTTGTATCTTTATGTGACAACTTTACCATATGTGAAAATAAGAAAAATTTAAATATAGGAAGCATATAAAAATAACTATAAT